AATTTATAAACAAAATGACCAGGATAATGAGTTCTGCAAACCTTGAGCGTTTCACTGGATTTGGACGTGATCGTCGCATCGACTGGCGATATCTCATGGATGCACCCTAATAAGATATCTTCTAAACAAAAACACTGACGTTTATTAATGGAAAATGATATTTTACAATTCAGAGGAATGTAATTTATACACAGACGAGTGATGTACGGCTGATTTCAGCTGAAAAAAATATGAAAAGTGTCGAATGATAGAAACAAGAATACAATACTGGGATTCGATGACCGATTTGTTTCATTGTCTGCCAGTATTGGACATAATCGCTCGCTGAATACGGATATTTGATTCTTCTTGTTTCCCATTCCGGTAAATCCTGTAACTTTCAGGCCGGAACTCGTGGCTTTGGACTAAGAACTGGTCGGAAAGTCATTGAGAACAAGCATCTGAATTATAATGCTAGATAGAGCCTCTGTTGTAGTTTGAATATGCCAACAAGGGAATGGTTTTGTAAGCTGAGATGTTAGACGTTTTCATATCTCACTTGAAGCTACATACTGGAAACGTTTCATGGAAATTCGTGATATTGATTAAGCAGGATTGATCGTCCTTATCGTACAATCGCTATTGATACACCTAATACAAGTGAGCGCTATCTTAGATATAAACATTAGTTCATGTAAACAGTTACTGATTGCAGGAGTAGTCTTCAAATATACAACTAACAATATATCCAAATCTATGCGATGTTAGAAGATTGCGTCCTACTATGACTCGTTACTCCATAGACTAGCTGGACTATACATTTACGGCGACTTCCATCTTATATATGAGTAAAGAGCACCGCTATAGGATAGTTCGAGGAAAAAATAAAAAATAATAAATTTGATGATAAAAACACAAAGTGTTGCATTAGATACAACGGTATCGAATGCGTATGAAAGTAATATTTTCCCGATGCTTCCCTATGATCTGATAGAGATCCACGAAAAGCTGAGGTAGCACAGCGAAAATGGTTTTGCTTTAATAAAATACTTTTGAAGAAAATATTTGTTATTCATATAGAGTTCGACAAAACTGGGCGAAATTCGTCTTGCTAAACACAGCAAGTGTATGACGCTGAGGACTGAATGCTTTCCATTTCCTTCTCCAGTCAGGAACGTTCAACAGTTCGCTGGTGATCGCAATTTTCCATCATGTTCATAATCACATTTACCAGTATTCGTGTTTAATAGGAATAGATTGAAAACTTTATGTCAAAATTCATGAAAGAAATCTCTTTCACTTTTGAGATTACTTTCTACCTGTTTCTCTTGGGTATCTAATTAAATTTGTTCAAATGAAACATCTTCAAACCAAGTGCCCATGATTTTAATAAATTTCTAATATCGCCCTACACTTTTTTAATAAAACTGAACTTTCTCTTGCATAGAGAAAGATTTTCGTTTGACTTTTTGGAACATTACTTTGTTATATGAGATGAAAAAAGGGTCAACATTTTTTGCAAGCGGTTTAGTTTCCATTGAGTTATAACAATTACAAAATTTAAAAAGTTGCTCTACCTTCAGCCTGAATATAGTTTTTCTTTAACTTCGTATAAAATTTTTGTATTACCTAAGTTTATGAAACAAACTTCTTTTACTTGTCAAAATGTTTTTCTTCTATTCGTACTTGATATCCGATCAAATTTGCTCAAATGAAATTTCTTTCAACGAAATATCAATGGTTTCAATATCGCTCTACAAAAAATTTAGAACTACTCTAATGCACATTGTCCATAGCATTTCATTCATCAACCCTTGTCTAAAGCAAAAAAATTTTAATATATTCGGAAAGCTCTCGGCAAGCTCTACAAATCTAACCAAAAATAAGTTAAAAAAGTTTCAATGGCATAAAGGAAAATTGATCTTTCTCCATCAGGCGGTCTTAGAAAGTAGATATTTGACACTGTTGCTATGATTTCTCGCGAAATGAAACAAATGAAAAATCGATTTTTTCAGAAGTGAGTGAGCATCTCTAAATCAGTAAAAGAAAACAAGTTTTAAAAATGGTTAAGTCGTACTCAACTTATAGCCATTTTTCTTCGCGGAATACAACGGTATCGTGGCCGTACTCTTCACTCATATATGATATAATGGATATCGTTTACTTCTCCTTGGAAGAACTGCGAAATAGGCCGTCACGTTTTCAAAAGTGAAAAATTTCGAAGTCTTTGGAAAACTGCAAATTGTTAGCAAAATTGATAAATGTCACTATTGTGATATCACACAAATTCTGCTAATTATACAATTTTCATTCTTCTTTTTAAACTTCGTAGAAAGTACACAAGAGAAGTATCATAAAATGTAGATGTTTCTCTTCTTCTATCTAGCCTCTGATAAGATATGTTATTGACTCCTTTGAGTTATAAAACTAAGAAAAAACTTCGAGAATAAATCCATCTACAAGCAGCTATTATAAGATTCTTATTCTAAGTGCTGCTCTACATGGATCCAAATGAGGTTGTTTCATGTTGAAACAGTTGCTCAAGGTTGTGCGAAAGACTTTCAAGGGAAACTAAAATAATTCACTGAGAAAATTCACATGCTTTCGAAAATGGTATTTATTGATTGCATGTTATTTTTAGGAAGTGCTCTCTTCCATGGGTAAAATACCCATACTAAAGGGAAACTCTGTTTTTGTTTGTTGTTGATTTTTATGTTGTTGGTAACAAAAGAAACAAAACCTCAGTGTTTTGTATTTTTTGATCAATACTTGAAAATAGGATTCGAAGACAATTTTTATTACAGGCTAATTGTGCAAGAGACTTCAGTCTATATAACAGAACATTGAACGAAAATAATAAGAAAGTAAATTAAAATTGATACACACAAAGAAAACGAAAGAAATTCAACTATTTCTAATGTTTTTAATATATGTTTTCTTGGCGGCAAGGTGAGTGATCAGTGTTTCAATAAAATTTAGCTAGAAAATTTCTTTAATTTTTTTTCGAAGTCTATGCCACGGTCCACTTCAAACTACAGGTAAGGTGTTACGTTGCTTTTTGAAGAAATGCTTCTACTTTCTGATCCATGTCGTGTCATAGCTCAATCAACAACACCAGCACCCAGTTTAGCCTTGGCGACATGCAATTCACCTCTTTGTAAATCGTCATCTTTACCGTGTTCTTCGAATCTCGATTGTGAATGTTTTTCATTGACCAATACTGTTAATACAACTAGCTCAGGCATTTGTGCTGTTGCTGATCTTTCCTGCACTTCAATGGTTCGATGTAATTCAGACAATGTTACATGTTCGATCGCACAAACAATTTGTGTTAACAGTACACGATGTCAACAACCTGTTTGTTATCCAATGGCATTGGCTAATATTCAAATATGTCCTCCCTCAGCTCGTCCTACTAGTACAACAACAACTTCTAGAAGTAAGGAGTTTGCACTTTGTCTTGAGAAGATCCGCATGTTCTATTTCGTTTGATTATAGCGAGTTTTACTACAATACGAACGACAACAAAGACTTCTACAACAACTTCTAGAAGTAAGGAGTTTGGACCTGGTCTTGAGAAGATATGCATATTCTATTCCGTTTGATTATAGCGAGTTCTACTACAATACGAACGACAACAAAGACTTCTACAACAACTTCTAGAAGTAAGGAGTTTGGACCTGGTCTTGAGAAGATATGCATATTCTACAGGGTGTAAAAAAACCATTACGCCCCCCCTTCCAGACCTAAAGACCAAATAGTACCCCCAACAATTTTATACCAAATGAAAGCCAGCAAAAAGTTACGTCTAGTGGTATAGTCAGAACAAATATAGTTTGTAATATTATAACGATTCTAGGCTCAATACATCATTTTCACTTATGTATCACAGTCTCATATCAATTGAAATGATACAAGTTATGTTTCTTCACTTTCGAATTATGTATTAATAGATCGTAGTTTTCATGGCTCCAAGCTTTTATTAAATGTACGATATCGTAGACCAATATGTCACGTATTTTGCCAAATTT